AGGGCAACAGCCAGTGCACCGAATCAAACCATTCTCGTTGCAATTAAAACACCCCATCAATTTCCCTCCTTCATCTTCATAAAACTTCCGACTCCCGTTGCAATTTGGGCATGGCACAAATCTTGCATCCCCACAACTCTTGCAAACAAACCCCAAATCCATAAGTGGAAAACCTTCCACAAGCTTAGCCAACGCTCCTGTATCATTAAGCTGCTTAATTTCCTCTGCACCACCTATGCACTTCCCCCTAATGAACACTTTTGGCAAGCTTATTGCCTTCCCTTTTAAAGCATCCTTCAATTCATTCCTGTAAGACAAGTCCATAGAAAGATCCCTTTCGTCTAGACACACTCTAAAGCCCCTAAAAATCACCCGAACCGCACAACAATCCTCATAAGTCTTCCTAATACCCCTTAAAGTAGTATAGTACAATACAATTCTATCATCAGCACCCAATAAACAACTCGAATCAGTACTGCAGGATACCAAAGAACTGGCATTATTGAACTCCAAAGCTTCAATCTTTTTGGGTTTAGAAATACCTGGGGACATGTCACATCCATGTTGTCTAGCCAACAACGCCTTTTGATAACTAGAGACCACATTGGAATCCATTTTGGCTAGCAAAGATTCCTCGGATAAGTGCCTCCACAATGGCTTAGACTCAGACTCTGCGTGCTTCACAAACTCATAGGATTTCATTATCTCACTTGCATCCATCTCAGTATTGCTGAGTTTTTGGGGGGAGTCAATGATGTGGAAATTGAATTCATCATCATCAAGGCCTTCCATTAGCTCCCAAGTGTTGATAACTGAGTCTGGGGATAAAGAGTCCTCAGAGTTCCCAAAATCTTGTTCGGTGAAATTGACATTTGGGGAGTCGATTAGCGTAATCGAACCATAGGTGGTGGAGGTGAGGGAAACAAAGTGATTGGAATCCCCTTTGCATAATGGTGGGTGGTGGACTAAAGGGGTAGGCAGAGAAAGAGTTCTTGAAACAGGGATTGCAAAAGAAGAAGAAGAAATTGAGGGATTTTGTTGTTCGCTGATAAAAGAATGGGGACGAGAGGCTGAGCTGCCCATGGCGACAGTAATTGTAAAAAACAAAGATTGAAGAAAATGAAAACTGATCCCCTTTCTTTCTCCTTTTCTTTCAAAGGTTGGAACTGGATAGAACAATAATTCGGTTTTGTTTTGTCCTTTTTCCTGTTTTTTTGTCACAGATCTGTCCTGTGAATACGTGGATTGAAAGATGATTGGGATTATTGGGGAAAAAAGGTTGGTGCAAGGAGGGAGAAAAGGATGGGGGGCAGTCAGCTGTGGATGGGAAAGGAAAAATGGGATTTTAATGGAGGAATGAAACCTTGTTGCCAGGGAAAAACGTGAAGATAGCAAACCTAAGTCCGTTTTTGACTATATATTTTTTAACTTATAATTAAGTTTTAAATAAGAAATAGGTTTCTTGCACGTTGAAGTTAGAATAAGTAAGAGTGGATTTGATTGTCAATATTTTTATGAAAAGTAATTTGTCAATATTTTTTATGAAAAATGTTATTTTTCATTCAAATTTCTATTTTATGTTGTTTGATTGATTTTTTTATTAAAAATATTTTTCTACTTTTGATCATGTGATCATATTTTCCTTGAAAATAAGAAAAATATTATTTTTTAAGGGAGGTAAGTTTTTTATTTTTCAGATAATTCACTCAATTTCTCTCTCATCTATCTCCTCCCTCTTTCATCTACCTATCAATAAAAAATGAATAAATATAACATGTTTTAGATTGAAAATAAAATCAATCAAACACATTTAATTGACAATTTTCATACAAATAATTTATAAGCAATTAAATTGTCTAAAATTTATTTTCTTTCCATGTAAATTTCATACTCACAATCAAACACATCGTAAGTTCTCTCCATATA